ATATGGCACCACTATAGCGTATAGCTGCCATACAAACAGACTAATCAAAATCACGGTAAAGATATTTTTATATATTTTTATGACATAAGAAATATACCTGTGAAGGGTATTTAGCTTCGGTGCAGTCGAAGTTAACATTTTTTTTTGTTTTTTTTTTTTTAATTTGTTTTTATATTTTTTTGTACGCGCGAATTGCTCATTGATTAAGGCCATAATTGCTGCTGAATGAACAAACAAATGCCACACATTGTTGTACAACAAATATGGTAGTGAACACAGGCGCATATGCAAAACAGCGGCAAATTCACTTATAAAAACAACAGCACACCCACAAGCGCACACAACTATTTGTTGTTATTGGTTTTGTTTTATGGTTGTCTTCACAGCTTCCAATTTACATTTCATTTATCTTGCAATTGTTCACTTTTCTGTTGTACGTCTGTTGCATTAACATATTTTTACTTTTGTTGACATATTCTTGTTGTCGTTCACATTCACCAGCTTAGTTGTGAATTTAATAGAAATTGTACAGCATTACCTGGTGATGCTGGCTAATTATAGCAAAATGTCGTCATTAGTTAGTTGCCAACAGTTGGCCGTATTCACGATGTTTATTCGCACAAACGCACATACAAGCATTTCAGCCAGCGTTTACAAGGCAGCGCTATCATAGCTGACGACAACATTATTATTGTTGTCGCTATTATTGCCATTTATTAAAGCTGACTGTGAACTTGTTGTTGTTTTTGTAGTCTCTTATTTTAGTTGTTGTTTTTATTTTTCAATGAATATTGATGAATGAATCACCGCCCATTTGCAGCTGTTTGATCGCACATTTACTCCTAGAGACACATATACATATATACATACATATATATTTGCTACATATGACATATACACATGTCTCATTTATACATAAATTTATATGCAAGTTCGTATATACCCGCTTGCAAAGACCGTCGCTGGGAAATTTTCATGCCGTCAGCAAATAAATTCTTTCTCGCCGCTTGCAGTTTGATGACGTCGTTGCCACCTGTTACGGGGTGTATTAGCAAAATAAATTGCTATTCTAATACAATATCAGCGCAGCTGTTGAAAATCAATGATTATTTTAATAGATAGGTTTGTTAGCGCAAGCTTAGTCAATTTATGACTATAACAACAAAGCCAATTATACCCGAGCTTCATCAACTACGCGTAGGGTAGAAGTATTTTCTTCAGATCACGCTTTTTTTAACAAGATGCGAATATCGAAATCGATTTTAGACATTTTCAAACCCCGTCATTTTTTTAATGGAATATGGCTTAACTCATAAACTACTTGCACACTCTTAACAAAAAACTCCTCGAAATCTAAAACAAAAAACAGCAAAAAATTAAAATTGTTTGAAATCCATGTCCACATAACATACCAGCTTCCAACAAAGAGTTATCTTGATAACAGCGCTTATTCTCAAAATTTTGATTTTTATACCCTGAACAGGGTATATCAAATTTGCTCCGAAGTTTATAACACCCAAAAGGAAATGTCGGAGATTCCTCAAATAAAAAAATGTTCCATGCAAGCACTTTACTCCGATCGTTCAGTTAATATGGCAGCTATATGCTATATTGCCCCAAAGATAAATTGAATGTAAAATTGGAAGCTTGGAAAAGACATCTCTCTCT